GCTTAATTATTTTTCTTGAAGACTTATAATGCATGATTCACAGGTAACCCAAAAATAATTCCAACCTTAACACACACAAACACACCCCAGTAGCCCTTAGATTTCATGTCTGTCTGTCAATCGATCGATCTAGACAGAGGATCAGACTAGAAGTTCTCTAACATCCCTTCCAACCTATGATTCTATGATTCTGTTTCATTTCTATCCTGCTCTTTGGCCTGAGAGGTTCAAAAGGAGCTTACAGGTAGTCCTCCCTTAATGACTGCCCTGTTTAGTGACCATTCAAAGTTACGACGGTGCTGAAAAAGTAACTTTAGAGCTGGTCCTCATGCTTACGACTGTCACGGGATCGAGATTTGGGCACTTCACAGCTGGCTTCTAACAAGCAGAATCAATGGAGAAGCCGGCAGTAAAATCACAAGGCGCAGTCAGGTGTTATTTTGCTTAATGACCGCATAGCTCAATAATGGAGTTCCTGGTCCCAATTGTGGTCATTAAGTGAGGACTACCTTTAGATAATAATAAAACAAGGGACCATGCAATATGAAAAGATATGACATAGAAGGAAAGCCAGATGGGGAGGGAAAAGGAAAACTCAGGCTCCGGGTTTTATTCTTTGATGGCCTAAATTAAAACAAGTGGCCTATAGTAGCCCTTTAGGGTGGACAGTAGCTTCTCAAAAGAGCTTGAAGGACACCCTCGTTCCCAGAACGGATGATTCTTAGCGGGAGTTTTTTTTTCCTGAATGGCAAGTTCTGGAATTTCTCTTCTGGGGACAGGCACAATAGTCTTTGTAGCCCCAAATCAGCAGAAATCTGGGAGCAACTTTTCTGACTAACATTTTATTAAAAGGCAGAAGCTCTGCATCTGATGGAGTGAGCTGTAATTCACGAAAACTGATGCCTTTGAATAAAATGTGTTAATAAATAAAATGTGTCAATAAATAAAATGTGCTTCCAGAGTCCTTCTGAAATGCCCTTGTGTCCCTAGCTCTGTCCTCAGCTGGCAGAGACAACACCAGGCTTATCTTTGACCCTCCTGCCCCAGGACAGCTGGTGTTCATTGTACAGCCTTCGGTGCAAGGTCTCTGCAGCCCCTCTCTTCCCCTCTCTTGCAGACCCTGGTGAGCGGGGGTACCATCCTGGCCACAGTGCCTGTGATGATGGACACTGACAAGCTGCCCATCAACCGCCTGACTGCAGGGAAGCCAGTGGTCAGCCAGAACAAGGGCGAGAAGCGCACTGCCCACAATGCTATTGAGAAACGCTATCGTTCCTCCATCAACGACAAGATTGCTGAGCTCAAGGTCCTGGTGGTGGGAACAGAAGCCAAGGTCTGTGGGGTGGACGTCCTGGGAGCATAGAGCGTTGAGACTTCGCGCGGGGAGCTCTCTCCTACCTTAGCTGTCAGGGAGTCTTCACCTATGGAAGGCCAACCTTGATGCCTCCTCTTCAGTGTGGGAGGGAAGCCATGGGAAATGGGTGCTTCTGGCTTAGAAGACCTCCTGGTTTGGCCTTGGTCATGATCTGGGCCCGTCTGTTGGTTCCTTATCTTGGTTTGCTCTTGATTATTGCTGTAGGGACAGCAGGAAGTGCATGACTTCCTCTCCTTGGACTCTTGGTGGTGACTTGAGTAGAGGGAACACAGCTTTCATTTACTAGAAATGGGGTTGGGGTGCAAGCAGCTTTGCCTGTTTTGTGCAAATTCAGGTCACATAAGAAGAAGCTTTTGACCTTGCCTTTTGCTCGACTCCTATGAACCAAGCCTGTCTCTTTGTCTTGATTGGCAGTTGAACAAGTCGGCCATCTTGCGCAAAGCCATTGACTACATCCGCTTCCTGAAGCAGACCAACCAGAAGCTGAAAGGGGAGAACATGGCCCTTAAAATGGCAGCACAGAATAACAGTGAGTTTCATGTGCTTACACCACCCCCTGGGGCCCTTTTCTTCTTGTGGGCTTGAGACCAGGAGATCCACAAGGGAGGGGTGTCAAGACCAGGCTGGCAGATCAAGCTATTGGTTGGAGACCCTGGTGGGGAGCAAAGAACATTTTCTACCTTGGGTGGATCCTCGCCACGCCCATCGGCCAAGGAGCCAATGTCACCATTGCCCGGTGATCAGCCGAAACAGCTGGACCCTGTTGCGAAAGCTGATGTTCTTGGCCAGTGGCCAAATGCCTCTTCTCTCAGTCCATTTTTCCTATCAGCTCCCTCCCTAGCTGCAGGGAGCACAGACTTTGACCTCGTTTCTGCTGAGACAGAATGTTTTCTATTTGATTTTGGGTTAACCGTTGGGCGAACCCAGTTGTGGTTCTAACTGATGGTTGGTGGCCTTGTAGAAAACCAGCCTGTTGTGCCTTCCTCAGAAAACATACTTAAAACACATCTGAGTATACCGTTGTGTGAGAATCCCATCTTGGTTCCACCACTGGCCCACTCTCTCCTTCTGCAGAGTCCCTGAAAGACTTGGTGGCCACTTGTGGTGGAAACATGGAGGATCCAGCAGAGGGAGGGAAGATGATGGACGTTCTGACGCCTCCACCCTCGGATGCCGGTTCCCCTTTGCATAGCAGTCCGATCTCATTCAGCGGCACCAGTGGAACTGACTCCGAGCCGGACAGCCCTTTGTGCGAGGAGGCCAAGGTCTGCTCCCGGGTGGGAACTGGAGCAGAGGGCGTGGGAGACCCTGGGGCATTGGGTTGGCCTGAAGGAGACTCATCCAGCAGGAGAAATTCCTGTAGATCTCTGAGGTATCAACAACCCCTAAACAAATTCAAGGGGGCATGCTTCATCTTCTACCTCCAGATGACCCAGGCTGCCCTAACACCTCTTGACCAGAGTCTTTCATGGATTGGTACCTGGATGGGCCCTCTCTTTCATTTGAGAAGCCCCTGAGTCGTCTTCTCCAACTTAACCACTGACTGATTTTTGTAGGTGAAACCCGACTGCCAGGCACCTTCGGCGGGCAGCTTGGGCATGCTGGACAGATCCCGCATGGCACTCTGCGCGTTCGTCTTCCTCTGCCTCTCTTTCAATCCGCTTTCTTCCCTGCTTGGAGGATCGGGCGTCCGAAGTACTTCAGAGGTTTCCACTCATGGCCGTTCCGAACGCAACATCCTGGCCGTGAACGAGGAGAGTGAGTGAAAGACACCACGTGGGTTGAGCCGCCCAGAGGGGAGCCCCCCGGGAAGCCTTAATTTGCTCAAAATGTGTAGA